TGTTAATTTTTCAAATTCCTATTATTATTGCCGCAAAATGTTAACAAGTAATCATCAAATTTTAATGGGCAATTAAAAAATATATTAATCAAACTAATATTTCAATTATTTGTTCATTTACATGAAGTGTTAATTTTTACTCTGATGATGAGATGAATCATCAAATGCTCGTAAATAACTTCGTTACATGAAATTTGTGTATATATTATATATGAAAAACAAATTTCAGGACATTTAATTAACTAAATTTATTAATTTGCCTTGATTCTTAAGCTTACTTATTTTGAAAGAAAAATAGGGCATTATTTTTAATAAATCTTTGGATGGAGATAAAATTCATGGTTCTAATGAACATACTAAAGTAAAGTATTATAGGCCTACGAAAAGTGGTTCAATTATAAAATATACTCAAAATTAAATAATCTGCAAATAGTTTTTCACATTATGAACCATACAGCAACTCAGAACTAGTGGTGCGTGGCATTGTGCCTTGAGGCAAATTGCTGGTACTTCTCATACCAAAAACTACAATTTTTAAAAAAAGATTCAATTTTTTTTAGAACTCTCAAAAAATCGATTTTTGATATTTTTCAAACTTTTGCGAAGAATTGATCTTTTTGAAAACCTTGATTTTTTCAAATTTTGAAATATTTTGAAAATTTGAACTGTTTTTCAAAGCATTCGCGAAACGTTAACTGCGTAGAAACAAAATATCGAAGCGCGTACGCGCCTCGACGCTGTTTAACGGATAAACATTGGTACGGAATTCATAGAAAAGTGAACAAATCTGTTATTATTAAAATATTTATAAAAATATGTGGTAATTTGATGTACATATGTCTAATGATCATTTTGGTCCGTGAAATGGCATTTTTTGTCACTTTTTTTACTAGCTCGCCGAAACCGCTAGACCTGCCTTCCCAAAATTTCATCAGTTCTTCATTTTGTCAATGCAAATAAATGCGTTTTTGAAACATTTAAATCGGACGTTCCGTTCTCTTAAAAACTGCGATATCATTTTTGGCACTTTTTGCCCCATATCTTCGGAACGGCTAGACCTGTCTTTGCCAAAAACTAAACAGCACGTCTCCTTATTAATACGAATCGAATGTTTTTTGAATCATTCAAATCGGTTGATCCGCGTTCCCGAAATCGTCGACAAAAATTTGTATCCGCACTCACACACACACACATACGCACACACATACATACATACATACACATGCAGATACATCAATTTTTTCTAAGGTATGCCGAAATGTTCAGAAACCTCTGAAACATAAATTTATATAAAAAATTTCATTTTCGATTTTTTTGCGATTACTATAATTTACCCAACAAAAAGTTAATTAATATATTGATTACTTATTGATTAAACCGATTATTTACGCATGTCACTTTATAAACAAAAGCTAAATAACTGAAGCAAATTAAAAATGACAATTGAAACCACATTATACTTCAATTTAACCTGTACAATATTAGAAGCAAAACTTAAATTTCCTTTCGCTAAATTGTAAATTAATAACGACCATTAAGCTTATGCAAACACTAATGTTGACATATGTTCGTCACAACATTTGCACAAGACATCCAACAAAACCAAATCAAACCAATAAACCACACACCATACAACACACAAAACCATTAATAAATAACAATTAATAATACAAACATAATTCCTTTACTAACCTTCATTAACACGTCCCGACTTCGGTAAAGTGTCTCGAACTTCTGTCATTTTGTTTCACCATAGAACTGTATCAGTATCACCACCGTCGACGACGACGACAACAAACATTGTCCGTATTAATAAATCATCGTATTAATAAACCATTTGTTGTAACCATTAACACTATAAATGGAATCCGATTAACTGTAAAACGAGTGCCTATCTGTTTTTTTTATTATCTATTACAAAATGACTTCACACGCACGCAAATTACCAAATGACATTCGCCGAAGAGATGCCGTAACGTTGAAAGTCGAAACGCAACTGCCGCGTGAAGTTGACGAGGGCACGAGTTAAGGTTGAAGTGTTGCCAGAGGTGGAAGTGGATTAGTGGGGATTTTGACCGTTGGAATTTGAATTTGAAAATGTAATGTTTGATGAAGCAAATTAGTGGTGAATTCAACGTGCCTTTAGGCAAATTGCTGGAACTTCCCGTATCGTAACGAAAGATTCGAGAAATTTCAAACGTTTTCAAATTTATTATTACAAATACTGTAACTTTCATTATTTTTGCTATCTTGTTTGTTATATCTGAGCAAATCAGATGTAAATTATGAATCTGTCATTTGAATTTGTAAATGTAATGTTTGATGAAGCAAATAAGTGGTGAATGCAACGTGCCTTTAGGCAAATTGCTGGAACTTGCCGTATCGAAAAGTAGATTATTAACTTGTGGTGTATGGCATCGTGTCTTAAGGCAAATTGCTGGAACTTCCCGTACCGTAATGAAATATTCGAGAAATTTTAAACGTTTTCAAATATATTATTACAAATACTGTTGTAACTTTCATTATTTTTGCTATCTTGTTTGTTATATCTGAGCAAATCAAATGCAAATCATAAATCAATTATTACATTAACAATCGTCATTTCATTTCTAATTCAATTTCAAAAAATAGTTGCCTAATTTTACACAAAATTAAAAAAGTGCTCCCGTACAGTCACAGTCTAAACCTAAACGCACTTACAAATAATTCTGTGCGACATTTTCACTTATACTGTGCTTAGCTTGGCGGCATGTTCACATTTTTCAATAGTTTTCACAAAATTGGAAAAGTGCTGCATACATAAACAGTCTAAACGCACTTGGGTAAACATTTGTACCAGGGTGGCGCCTAGACTGTGCTTAGCCTGGGTATTTTTTTAAATTTTTAATCCAAAATTACAAAAAAAAAATTGAAAAAAAAATTGAAACAATTTTTTTTTCGATGGCAATTATTTTGTAAAAACAAGCAGAAAGTTCTTTGAATCATTTAAATCGGACGCTTAGTTCTCTCAAAAACTGCCATTTTTTTAACATTTAGCTCTGTATCTCCGAAACCGCTGAGCCTACCTTTGCCAAAAACTAATAACCACTTTTCCCCGTCATAACGAACTAAATGTTTTTTAGATCATACAAATCGGATGATCCGTTCTCTCAAAAACTCAATTTCTATTTTCTGCACTCTTTGCTCCGTATCTCCGTAACGGCTGGACCTGTTTTTGAAAAAAACTAATCAGCACATCCCCTATCAATAGAAATCGAATGTTTTTTAAACCATTCAAATCGGTTGATCCGTGCGCCCGAAAACGTGAACGAAAAAATGCGGACACACAAAACACACACATCCATTTTTTCTGAGGTATGCCAGTAAAATGTTCAGAAACCTTCAAAACGTCGAGAAATGCAAAAATTTCCATTTTCGATTTTCGGCCCATTACAATTACTACCCTACGAGAAGTTAAAAACAACTTTGCAAAACTTTAAAAAAAAAATGAGAAATTTAGAATTTTTGGAAAAATTCGACTTTTCAAAATTAAATTTGAACTTGTTTTGACTTGTTTTGTATTTTGATTTTTTTGAAGATTTTGAACATTTTTTTAAGCTCAAAGCAAAATCAAGCCATATTTATTTATTTATTTATTTATTTTACAAGCCGTCGGTATAATAATATTATAATAAGGCTTAAGTCAATATGTTATAGGTTTAATATAATTAAATTAATTATAATATTAGCTATATTATTACTTATTCATTTATTATTTAATTTATTTACTATAACCTTATTTATATTTAGTTAATTATTTTTAAATATAACTAGTTTGTTTGTTGCTAGTATTTATTTTTAATTTAATAAGTATTTTAATAATCTTTACAATACTTTTACAATATAATTATTTTATTTAACAAATTTTAGGTTATTTTATGATATTTTAACAAATTTAAGTATATTATGTTATTGTTATTATTATTATTAATATTACTAACTTCCCGTAGGGCAAGTTATAGTAATCGCAAAAAAAATCGAAATCAAAATTTGTATATATCTTTACGTTGCAAAACCTTCTGAACATTTTGGCATACCTTAGAAAAAATGGATGTATGTGTGGTTATGTATGTATGTTCGGATACAAATTTTTGTCGACGATTTCGGGAACACCGATCAACCGATTTGAATAATTCAAAAAACATTCGATTCGTATTGATAAGAAGACGTGCTGATTAGTTTTTGGTAAAGGCAGGTCTAGCCGTTCCGAAGATACGGGACAAAAAGTGCCAAAAACGGTAACTCAGTTTTTAAGAAAACGGAGCGTCCGATTTGAATTCAAAAAACATTTTACTTGTATTGACAAGGTGAAGAACTGATCAAATTTTCATGAAGGCAGGTCTAGCGGTTTCGGAGATCTAATGAAAAAAGTAAAAAAAATGCCATTTGGCGGTCAAAAATGATCATTAGACATATGCACATCAAATTATCAGATATTTTATAGAGATTTTAACAATAAGTATAAATTTTGTTTACATTCCTATGGGTTCCGTACCAGTGTTTATCCGTTAGACGGCAACGCGGCGCTTACGCGCTTCGATATTTCGTCTCTATGCAGTTAAAGCAGCACGATTGCTTTGAAAAAATATTCAGAATTTCCAAAATATTTCAAAATAAATTTTTCTTCAAAAAGTTAAAAAAATTTATATTGAAATTTATATTTATTTCTTCAAAAAATTTATAGTTTCTCAAAAATCTAATTTTTTCAGAGTGAATTTATTTCAAAAATGTTAATCTTTTCAGAATCAAATAATTTGTGGTACGGGAAGTTCCAGCAATTTGCCTTAAGGCACGATGCCATGCGCCCCACTAGTTTATCTATGACTCAAACCTAGGTTTCGATCTCGACTAACAAAAATTTTAACATCGACTTTTATTCCGCTCACATTACCCCCACTACAAAACATGTTGCGATCGTCACTTGTCAAATTTGTTTATATCGTTTAGTTTCACTGAAAATGCAGAATTTGCAATTCGTATAAAAGTTGACCGAGATAGCGAAAATTTATAAATATCAGCAAAACGCGGTTGTGGAATTTAATGTAGCCTGTTTTTATAATAGATCAAACATTTCGAAGGTGAGAACTCGGACATAACCTTAAAATAAAACAACATATTTTTATATTATAGTAATTGATAAATGTGATGTGTTTTGTTTTTAGATCATTTTTACAAAATGGCTGAACAAAAGTACTATGCTTATAATATATCTAATGAGGGTTCTCCTGTTGAAGAACCCGATTTGGATAGACTTGGGAGGCTCGATAATCAAGTTAGATTTGAGATTACTACAATGCTAAGAGATGTAAGTAAAAAACAAATCCTTATAAGTATATATATATATATATATATATATATATACTAGCTGGCCCGGCAAACGTTGTTTTGCTAAGTAAGGTATATTCTTAACAATTTCTAGAGAATCAAAAATATTAATACTTTAAGTGTATAAGGATGTGTTTGTTTCAATGCTATATACAATGAGGTATTATAAAAACAATAAACCCCATTAGTTTGTCTATATTTTGTCTGGAAGTTTTATACACTTTCTATAGAAAACATGGTATAATCCAATCCAAGTCTTTTTTGATCTTTCGACTTATTGATTACGTTTTAAGATTTTCAGATTCTTTTGGATTCTAGATTTTGTGTATAATTGTAAATAATACTCTACTGAGCTTATACAAAATTTAATAAAAAGTATATATGTAGAGCAGGGCGAGGTACAAAGGTCCAATTTGACTTTGAGCAAATATTCATTGTATTAGAAAAATCAAACCTATTATATCACAACAAATAAGACATATCAAACAAACAATTATCTGACTACGTTCAGTAAAACTGTGAGCTACTTCATCATTGTAGAAATGTGTTTGTTTGATGTCTTTCAAAAATTTCTTATCTAGACCATTTTACCCTATAGGCGGAGTAACTTGCAGCGGCCATGTTTAATGTCTTATTTAATTTTAAAAGTATTTTGCAACATAGTTACACTTTTAACTAATGCTAAAAAACTACCAACGGAAGAAAATACTTTTATTATGGATTTTCAAAGATTACCGTTTATCTCCCAATAGCAAAGTCATAAGAATCAAAGATATAGCTGGTTATACATCTTTTTCCCTCTACTTTCAAATATTGTAGTTAAACAATGCTAACTTTACTGATTTTTGACACATTGCTGTTGGACTTTTTTAACCCCGGACTTTGATATATTTCTATCTATTTTTCGATAAATTCTGGGAAATTATAACTGGGAAAATGTTATTCGACAAAATGTCCATTTGATCGTTACCAAATTTAGGTTCTGAATTGAAATAACAAATAAAAAATAATATAACCTAGAAAATGTTTTATAAATACCAATGAGTATAAATTTATACAAATGAGTTCTTTCAGAGCACCTTGAGAAAAATATGCCAAAAAGTGCATTTTCATATTAACATTTCAAAAAAAAGTTGATATTTTGAGTTTATAGTAACACTTGCGGCCCGTTTACTAACGTTTTTGTGTATAAATAAAACTACAAACAAAACTACTTACTACAATTTGATCATAATTAAATAATATTCTCATAAACATCATATTAAATGTAATTGAATATCTCTCAAAAACGTTTGACATTTGACGTATTAGCCACCGTCCATTGTTTTATTTAAATTACGCTTCTACACAAATTTTTAAATTAAAAATGTAAATTTTATGCGCGATTTTGAAATAATATCTCACCTTTCCGACAACCTACTGATTAACACGAATTTTTCAAGACTAAGACTGGCCAAATCGGTTTAGCCGTTTTCGAGTTTTACTGAGTCATTTGATCGAGAGCTCCATTTATATATATATATATATATATATATATATATATATACTAGCTAGCCCGGGAAGCGTTGTTTATTCCTAAGACGTATTTCTAAAAAAATTTTGGTCAATTCAATTTAAACTAGTGGTGTATGGTGTCGTGCTTTAAGGCAAATTGCTGGAACTTCCCGTACCGTAACGAAATGTTCGAGGAATATTAAATGTTTTCAAATAGATTATTATAAATAAATATTGTAACATTGTCTAATAATAGGTTGTCAAATATCTCCCTTCCGCCTTTTTGTATTATAAAACAAGAGCAAAAAAGCGGAAGGGAGATATTTGACAACCTAATATTTATAAGAATTATATAAACTGAAATGCAAAATATAAATATAAATATAAATATAAATGCAAAGTTGAAATTATTTATTTAAAACTAACGAATTATCCCTATCATTACGAATCGAATGTTTTTTGAATCATTCAAATCGGATACTCCGTTCTTTCAAAAACTCAATTTGTATTTTCTGCACTCTTTGCTCCGTATCTCCGTAACGGCTGGACCTGCCTTTGCCAAAAACTAATCAGCACATCTCCCTATCAATAGGAATCGAATAGGAAATGAACCATTCAAATTGGTTGACGCGTGCGCCCGAAAACGTGGACGAAAAAATGCGGACATACAAAACACACACACGCATCTATTTAGTTTCTGAGGTATGCCCCTTAAAAATGTTCAGAAACCTTCGTCGAGAAATGCAAAAAATTTCATTTTCGATTTTCGGCCCATTACTATAACTACCCTACGGGACGTTAAAAAGTATAGGATAGGATACTAAAAAATTTGGCACTTTTGATTTGTATACGCGGGTACGGAACAACGTCTGCAGGGTCATCTAGTATAATTATATATATATATATATATATAATATATATATATTTATATTATATATATATATATTTTCTCTCATTCCATTACCTAGACGAATGGTGCCTCCTACCACAATGACATGTACGCCCCGTTCATGAACCAACGACAACCCGCCCAAGATTTTGCAACAAACCAAAGCAATACTACAGTTCAACCCGCCCAAAAACAAGATCAAGGTAACACAGTTCAACCTGCACAAGATGAAAACAATCCTCTGCAACCTGATGTTGGAGTTGATGATGATGATGATGATGATGATGACCCGAGTTTTGACGGCATGGACGAAGAGACCGGGTACATGAGTTTTGCGAAACACTTGCGAGCCGATATGAAAAAAAATAAAAATGCTCCTGATATCGAAAACGAGGGACTCTTCCCGGCACTCGAGAATGGAAACTCGAGGCGCGAAAGAACCAGGAGGAAGGTAACTAGTGTGACATTTTCAAAAAATCGAATTTTCAATTTTACCATATTTCCAGATAGGTTATACCTTTAAAAATAACATAGCAAAATTTTAAATCGATATATTAAATAGTTTTTGAGTCACATCCATTTAAAGAGTATATATATATAGTATATAGTATAAGGATCATTTAATCTTTAAACGCGTTTTTCTCGAAACAGCATTTTCCGAATTTGCTGCAGCGATTACTCAAAAACAAGTAATCCGATCACTACCAAATTTTTTTTACATGTTCTATATATAGTTCTCCGTGAAATGAACTATCGATTTTTTGATCGGATCAAAAATCGAATTTTGGCAGTCCAAAAAACGACCAACATTTTGGGTAAAATTCGACTTTTTAAAAAAAAAACGCCGTCATTTTATCATTTTTTTATTTTTGTTCTTTATCGTAGTTCATTTTACAGACAATATTATCTAGTTTAACGAGAATTTTTTTTTAAATTTCATCCACGTAGAAGGCCGGAATCACTGCAGCAGTGAAGGGCCTGTTTTTTGTCGCGCCGTTGGAGATCGACAATAACTTAAAAAATATTTAATTTTTTTCTTCAAAATCTATTATTATTTTTGCTATGTATTCTTAAAACATGTATAATTATATTCCTAAAATTTTGAAATGATTGATAAAATAGTTTTTTTAATATCACCTTTTTTTTAGGCGGTTACACTAGTTGTGCCCCTTAATGGACACATTTGATGTGCTAATGTTTTTGATTTTTTTTGCAGTCTTTTGGTAGAAGGAGGAACAGAAGGGAATATAGTTTCAGTCAGGTTAGTATTATAATTGTTAATGTAGTAGACCCTATTTTTGGATAACATAGTCATATATGTCACAAATAAGATTATATTGAAGATTTGCTATTCTCGGTGCATTCATTTTATTTTTATAAAATACTAGCAAACCCGACGAACTCCGTACCGCATACCAGATAGTTTCGTGAGAAAGATGAAGAAATTTTTTGTTTGTTTTATATTTGAAAAGGAAAAAATTGATTTTATTACACAACAGCAATGAATTTATTTCGATTACAAAAAATGAAGTGTTTTTTAGTTGAACTTCTCTAAGTAAATGAAAGTGAATCCGCAAATTATCCGTTTCATTGAAGTGCTGACGTTAACACAAACAAAGCGGATGGTTTTCCAACTCGTGAACGGGCAACGTGTAACTGCCCATGTGAAAAACAATGATTTTCTAAATAATCTATTTGAAAATTATCCCGCAAACACTAAGCGATTGGCCTTGCGACTTCTTATTGCGAACTGGAAATTGCAATCGTTTGAAGTCAAACGGAAGACCAGTCGGAATCATTGGTATGTCACCAAATCGACAGCAATTTTTTATTGAATGGTGAAATTCAGTGCGTGTACATCATTATTCTTTGCGGCAAGAATTGCTCGTTGACTTAATTGCAACCATAATTCTGATAATTCTCAATAATGTCATTACTCGAATTTTCAATTACGGTGCGTAAAGTTCCAGCAATTTGCATTAGGGCCCGATGCCATGCACCACTAATTTTTTTAGCCATAAACATTGCGGAGCCCGAGATCTTTTCAACGAATGCAAAATTGTCAAAATCGGTTTGTGCGTTCTGGAGTTAAATCGTCAGGAAGGAAAACCCGACTTATTTTTATATATATAGAAGATATATATATATATATATATGTATATATATATATATAAATATATATATATGTAGATTAACTTCGCATAGGGTAAATTATGGTAAGGGGGTACTAAATTATAGTATTAACAATTAATATTTGGATCAAGTTTCTGGTTTATGGATGGACTGTATATTGTATTATTAGAATCGCAAATAATGTCAGCAATTTTGTTTTCCCGTCCTTGATTTAAAGAACATTAAATTCGTAATGAAGGGAAGTAGTGGTGATTAGTTTTTGGCAAAGGCAGGTCCGGCCATTTTGGAGATACCGAGCTAAATGTGCGAATTGCAGTTTTTGAGAGAAAACGATGTATCCGAATAGAATGAATCAAAACACCTTACATTCCATTAGTCCGTTAATTACGTGATCGGATTTTTGAGGGTTTTTTGACCCCCCCCCCCTTCCTCGCCAAAATTACGTGTATTTTTAGCTACAAGGACAAATTGTAAAGTTTTTCGGATTTTTTTTCATTAAATTCAGGTAAAAAATAAATATATGTGATCTTACTATACACCACCGTCCCGACGTGAATTTTTTTATTTATTTTTTCAAAAAATCAAAAAAAAGAAATTTTTCAATTTCAAAAAAATATATATTTTTTTGAATATCGAATATCATTTGAATTTTAATTTTAATTCTAAATACAATTCTAAATCTCACTTATACACTTGAAGTGCTTGAAGTTAATAAAGTTACTCATTAGTATATATATATATATATAATATATATATATATATATATATATATTTAGGACTTTGCCATAAGATGTGTATCCGAGACCATATATCTCAAGAATGTACTTTTATTTAATTACTCTTATTTTTTTAGGCACAAGATGAGTTTTTAGAGGATGTAGTGGCTCATAATGATAATTCGGCGCAAGCTGCCCAAGAAGAACCCACGGAGGTAAATTTATTTTATGTTGATGATTTAAGCATTCTAATTCCATGTTTGAAGAAAACTATTTACTAAGAACTTGCATTGATTAGGAAATAATTCCAAAAAATTCGTCCTGAACCGATTTAAAAAATTAGAGAGATGTACACCTAAGTCTGTTTTTTCACGGTCTTTTTGTACACGGTTTAAAAATTGAATATTTTTAATTTTTTACACGATTTTATTCCATTTAGCACGATTTGAAATTTTATGTACCTAAATTTTTTTTGTCAAATTTAATTTTTGCGAAGTATGTTCATATCACAAAAAAGTATTTATGAAAGAAAAAAGTCTGAAACCATCGATAGTATCGATAGTTTGCGAACACTAGCTTAAAGATTTGAGTGAATTCTCCTTTAGCGCGTACAAACAATTTTTACTGGTCAAAGCAAATGTGAATAGCACTAATTTAGGGGAATTATTATTAAAATAAACATGAATTCTTGTTCTTGAAAATTCTTGTTTTTCACTAATTTTAATAGGTTTTAGAGATTAGGAACAAATCACCCATTTTTGTATAAGATCAATGTCTTTTTTCACACAGTTTTTTTTTTACACGGCTTCTTCTGGAACCAAGCTACCGTGTAAAAACAGACTTAGGTGTATATTGCGAATTTGGTAAATGCACCATCAGTGGCATTTATTAGCTCTACAGGACGCACCGTTTGTGCTACAACCTTGCAATTGAGACATGTCATTCTTCCAAATATCTATTACAGTAGAACTCCAATTATCCGAATTAATGGGGACCGGGACCGATTCGGATAATCAAATATTCGGAGTTTTTTTTTAAATTGCCATTGGAGAGAAAAAAAGTTACGTTTTGATATTGCACTATTTTTTTATTGAATTAAATGAAAGAAACATGACATTTTCACATGTTTTAAATATAAATAAAATGTACTTATGTACAAGTTTAGATATAAAAATCATTGTTTTGTAAACATCTCCGTCAAATCAAAACAAACAATGTGCCTACACTGGCTTTGCTGGTGAAGAATAATAGCGCACTTAGACTTTTTTTGGATAATTTTTTTTCTGAAAGTGATTCGGATAATCGGCGATTCGGATAGTCGGAGTTCGGATGATTGGAGTTCGGATAATTGGTCATGTAAATCATGAGGTCTTCCAACAAATTTCAGAATCATAAAACATTTATCATCTTCTCATTTCTCATTCATCATCTTTTTTATTTCAGAATTGGGACACTTCCAATCAAAATGAGCACGATGCAATTGAAACAAATGCTGCTACTGGTCACCAATTTGGCAGCACACCAAGTCCGACAGAAAGTTGGGATAATGATGAAAATGAAGCACCATCATCGGTTGTGGGTAGCAGCAACTATAATGGAAGTTTTGAACAAATTGCCACTTCTCAGGAGGAAGATGGTAACAGAGTTTGCGAAAATGGAACTACAGGGAATGGACCGTCGGTTACGGATGAAAGATCTTTGGAAAATAGAATTTTGGGTAGTTATAATCCTTTACCATCCCATGGAGCGTCGGTTGCAGCAACTGTTGATGATGGTAATAATAATAGATTATCAGGAAGTAAAAGTTCAGTTTCTACAACTGAGGGTGATAATAATAGATTATCAGGAAGTAAAAGTTCAGTTTCTACAACTGAGGGTGATTATAATGGCACAAGATCATCAGCAAATGGAACTATGGTAGATAATGGTAACAAATCTTGCACAAATAGAAGTTTGGGTGGTGGAAGTTCATTTACTGCGATAGCTAATGATGGTGATGGTAGAAACCTCTCCCAAAATAGATTAGGAGCTGCTCCAACTGATAATGATAGTGGTGGCAAAAGATTTGCCCTGAATGGAACTTCAGTTACTCCAGATGCAGATTTTAGGTACATGAGCTGGCGTGCAGCACCAAAATCAAGCGAAGACACCAGCGACAGCAGTAGCAAAACTGAGAAAGTGACATTGTCAGAGTTCTACAAGAAATGTGAGGAACAAAATAAGATAACCAATGCCTCAGTTCCCAATTTGACCCAAAATGGTAAAGCCATAAATGGAACTTTAACAGCTAATTGTGAAGAGAAAACACCATCGACAAATGGAACTTCAGTTCCTCCTGGTTTTGGGTATATGAATTGGCGCAGAGCACCAAAATCAAGTGAAGACACAAGCGACAGCAGTAGCAAAACTGAGAAAGTGACCTTGTCAGAGTTCTACAAGAAATGTGAGGAACAAAATAAGATAACCAATGCCTCAGTTCCCAATTTGGCACAAAATTACAAAGAATCTGCCGTAAATGGAACTTTAACAGCTAATTGTGAAGAGAAAACACCATCCACAAATGGAACTTCAGTTCCTCCTGGTTTTGGGTATATGAATTGGCGCGGAGCACCGAAATCAAGCGAAGACACTAGTGATTGCAGCAACAAAACTGAAGAAATGAACCTGAAGAATTTGCGTCCGAAACCGAAGCTAACTGTACTAGACTTCTACAGAGAATGTGAAGAACAAAACAAGAAAGCTGGTGTCTCGGTTTCCAATTTGGCTCTGAATTTATCGCGTCTATCGATTGGCAGAGGCATCACGCGTAAACCAATCAAGCCTTTACCGACTTTTGGACGCAATGCAGTACTTCATCAATATTGAACAAAAAGCAACTTGGTAGTAAAGAAAACTGCAAACCTAACTCCTCACCAATTGTTTCTGACCGCGTGCTGATAAATGCAGCACAGTCCTTTCTCATTCACCAACCAAACCAAGAAATAATTCACCAGTCCTCTCACCACCTGTTTTTGAACCTTGTGCTGATAAATGCAGCACAGTCCTTGCCAAATATTTACCAAACAAACCGAGTAATAATTCACCAATCCACTCCCCACCTGTTTTTGAGCACCTCGTTGCTGACAAATGCAGCACAGTCC